ATTTTGGACTTGGGAAACGTTTTGGACACATTATATGACTTTGGGAGACGCACACCTTTGATCATCTCGTCCGTTTCAATCTCTCTCTCTCTCTCGTTGACTTGTCGTGCTCGACTTGAAGAATCCATCTTTCTTTTTTCTTTTTTTTCTTCAAGAGCATTCTCATATGATAAGTGTACATGTGGCCAACGTGAATCCAACTAGTCAAGAAGGGCACTGATGCTATTGGTCCCAAAGGCATATCCTTTTTCCAACGTAAGTTTCATATTACCTTTTGTGACGAAACCAGCTTTAGACCCCATGAATTGTATATGAATTGGGGGAACTTTAGTTCCTAAAGTCAGGAGTTAAACCGATGAGATTGGCTTAATAGTTAAAGAAACCAACGCGTGGGACAATGCAGAACCGGCTAAAAAGAGAGGAAAAGTCAGATATCAGTAGCTATTTTGATTGCAATGTACACATGCCTAATGTTATACGTATGTATGTGTGTGTGTAACTTTTTGTTTCATTGGTCGGTCTCTTGTTGAATGTTTCTCCTTTTTGGAAGTGTTGTTTTATACAATGATAATATATATTTATAAAGAAAGATTATCGCAGCACATCGCAATCATTAGATGCATGGACGGTTATGCACTAAATATCTTATTGATATGCATTCTCGCTAACTCAAAATTTGACTATACCCACTCAATTTTATTGAGAGGAGAAGCCATTTTAATTTATAGAAATTATCTGATAATTCAATAGTTCATCATCATTTGACACTTTTAAAATCGGGTGAATATTGTTTTTCGTTTTGCTTAAATTTTCATCAAATCCAAATATTTGCACAAGTGATTCATTTGCTGTTCTTTTATTTTTATTGTTTGGCCAGGATGGCCCATACTGTTAAAAAACACTATAAGTGAAAGCAAAATTCTCCAATTAAATTTGCTGTTATACAATATATCAATGTCGATATTGATGTTTCCAATTTCTAGCAGTTATTTTTTTATCAACCAAGCCAAAGTCTTAAAGGAGCAAAATTGACTAGTGGGATCTAAGCTGTTTAGTTCTTTCTTGCATTTCTGCCTCAATCTAGCTGGAGCGTCTATCCAGATTATTTTTCTCCTTTCTAGCAACTCTTGGTGCCTATCCAAAGGCCATCCTTTCATTTTTTGCTCTTTTTTTTTTAATTTAATTTTTGGGTCAACTTTCGCACATCTCAATTGATCCACCGTCTGATCCAGTGTCTTTGACCAAAAAAACATTGATCTATCGTCCGGGTGATCTTGGGGGTTCATTCTCTCATAATCCCCCTCGTGCTTGGGAGTAGTTCTCAAGATCATTTTTTTGCATTTATTTCATCAAGAGTTTTTGGAATGATGATTTAATTGATTATGATATATTTTAGTGGGTGTCGTTATCTGCATATCCCATGTATCTTGGATGGGCGGCTAGCAAAAGTAGGCTCACCAAAGTTTTCTTTGGATTAATAGGAAAGGACTGCGATTCTTTTGGCTGGAAAGTGGGAAGGCCATTGCTGGGTTCACGGTCGGTTAAAAAGAAAATTCACACTATTATTGATAGTTGAACGAATTCGATTAAAAATGCACATAATGAATGGATAACTAAGTGTCATTAGAGTTAATTTAATAACAGAATTCTTCTACATGCATGGCACGTGCACGGGTCATGCGCGGACCATGTGTAGTTGATGCCCGGCACATGGAAAGCTTGACAGTATCACCCAGGTTAAAATTCAACAAGGACGTGCAATTGCTAAAAATTTAGATTGTCTTTAATGAGTTAAGAAATGAGGGTCGCCATATCGAATGTAGCGACACATCTTCGTTCCTATTCCTAGATGGTCCTGTTAACCAAGTCAATTACCATCATGTTATATGAAAACATCAATTAAGCAAATTATAAAATGCATAAGTATACATGTTGCCAATTAAATTTTTTTCAAGTGTTGATGAAAGGTGTGGACATACAAAATCTAAGACATTGTAACATGTCATCCGCACTTCCCAAATAATAGGATCTTGATCCTTTATTGTTTGGATTGATCTGTCTGTTAAAAAAACATTTTAAAATAAGATCAAGATTTAAATCGTGGTAAGATCGGGATTCGAGATTGTAAAATTAATAAAACCGGGCAAAACCATAAACTATTACCGATTTTAATCTTTGTCCATTTTATGATGGAAAATCGAATAAAATAATTTGGCTTTTAACTTAACATAGAAAAACAGCAAATTTATGATATGTTTTTGCCCCAGCTACACTAACCAAAGTCAAATATAGCCTTTCTTCTAGGAACACTTGAAAGTTGTGACCAATGTGTTGGGAATGCGTAACAAAAACCCAATACCTCCATCCGAATCGCCATAGGGAGTCTAAGTCTGAATCCATTAACATATCCAGTTGGATCCACCTTCACTTAAAATCTTAAGTCAATGGGTTATGAGCCAACTATAATATATTAACTGCTCTGCACTAGACCAATTCTCCGATGCGGGATTTCTCTAACACAACTCATATGTGCATCTCAATAATCTACCCCCACAATGTTAGGTTTGCTCCCCCTTAATTCAGGTATCATTCTGCATTAACATATCTCTACTTAAATCTCCAACGCTCAAATTCATCCCTAGTCTCTTTCTCCCAACCGAACCATGAAGGCTTAAGACCTCGTCGCTACATCACAATGCCCACCTGTCCGGAAATCGCGTTGGTCACCAGATTCCTTTCTTGAGATTATTCACTAAACACCTAAACAGATTGGGGGCACACCAATTTATCATCGTCTCTAATGTCATTTGTTGGAAGCATGCAACAGAAACCTGATACCTTCACTTGGGGAGATCATCAAGAGAGAGTCTAAGTCTGAGCCCATCGACATATCCAGTTAGATCTACATTCACTCAATAGCTTAAGCCAATATGTTATAGGCCAACTAGAATATAGTAATTGCTTTGCACTATACAAATTCACCGATGTGTAACTTCTCTGATACAACTCACACGTGCATCTCAACACAATGAGAGTTTGATTTGCAAATGTCCGCTATTTTGCTTCTTGACGAGACTAACAACGACGAGGAGCAACTCAGATATCGATGTATTGTTGATAAAATCAAAGATATAGTACAAGGTTTGCTTGTCCTCTCTCTCTCTCTCTCTCTCACTGATCTTATTTTATTCCATTTGTTTATGAACGGATATGAAATTAACGTTGGGTGTGACATAGCCTTCCTTTGAAAATCATGACAAAATCCACATAATAATTGTAGCAAGTCAAATAAACTTGATATTTTCTTCTTCTTTTTTCTCGTAATAGTGGAGCACCCACAGCTTTTCGAATATCCGATAAATCTTTGTCGACTAAACTTGAGCATACAGATTTGGGCTCTGGAAAGTGGCCGTATTAGAAAAAAGGCAAATCCGGCAATTCAAAACCTCCGGCTTTGAGCGAGGAAAATGAACATGCTTGTAACACTTTGAGAATTCTTGGGCTGAGTATGCACTTAGAAGTTACTGTTACTAGAGACAGTGAACATTTGGTCCAATCAATGAGAAATCAACTGGTCAAGAAAATTAAAAATAATACCAACAATCAAGCCATCATATTAAAAAAAGCATTTCTTGGCTGTCGGCAGCCTAAAATTAGCACACTTCTTAAAGTCATCAAATCCACATGTATAATAATATAATTTTATAAACTATCCCTTTTGTCTTATTGTACATTGCAAACAGCACATACACTAAAGAAACCTTGAACTTTGGGCATAGGATTTGTACCTATATGTAATAAATCAGTATCTTATGAGTGCATGATTGTTGTTTATTCATATCTAACACAATTTCCCATTTCAACGTACAGCTGTGTTATGGGGGAGATCCCCAACCCTAACAGCTAGATACGAGGTCTCCACATGATTCTTGTGTTTTTTATAATTTATTTTTGTCCTGCATGTCATAGAAACTTCAAATAAACAATTAGTCATCACTCAGCAGCAATGAATATTAAATAGATAAATAACTAATTCAACGGATGGAGGCTTTTCAACCAAATCCAACAAGCCTATCCCCACACTAGGAAAGATCACTTTTCTTTTGTTTTCCTTCCTTTGCTTTTGAGTTTTGGATTAGCCCAAACGCATCAAACTAAATCCACCTTTTAATTTGATCAAAAAGAAAGCCAGCAAAGTCAAAATTGGGACACTTGCTAGAAGCTACTTCTTCACATGCGTTTTCATAGTGGAAAACAATTAGGGTTTTTTTTATTAGCACGTTGCTATAAATTGAGAGTTATGGTTGGTTCATATCACCAATTTGATTACTTCTGGTAATAATCAACAAGTGAAGGGACGACCTAAGAGATATTACCAAATATGGAAAAAACGGTAAAGATAACTAGTCTCTATATATACCTGTCAAAGTGAATCATAGACCCATTTCTTAACCCATATTTGATAGGCTTAGTTATTTTATGAGTTAGTTATTTAGTAAATGGGTGATAAATTTTGTATAACCAAAAATAATATGAATGTTAAATGGGTTCACAATATATTAAAACCCGATCCACCTCCATGACTCTATCTTCTTCACTCTCTCTCGTCATCACTTGATCTTGCGCTCGCTCGCTCCGTGCTCTCACCTCGGTTTGGGTATGAGTTTTGCTAAATTAAGTTAAATATGGAAGTATTTAGCAATATGGGTCGGGTCAGGTATATGTCATTATATTTGTATTGCAAGGAAATGTGTCAAAACGGGTTGAATGAGTCAATCAGGGTCGATCAATTTTCGATACTACCTGACCCATTTGACGGGTCTAGTTCTTTGATGACATTAAACGCGGACATACTCTTATTTTGCAAAAATAGTGTTTTTTCACAAAAAGATGTTTTTTCACCTGTAGCTTTGTTTTATGTTAGGTAAAAGAGGGACGGTGAAGATTATGAGTCAAGTGGCTGGAGACCCACGAGAGCACAGAATCACGGTCCAAACGGTGACGCAGGTTTTGGTCTCTTTCTAAGACGAGCGACGCGAGCTTTGGCCTACATATACACTCCCCATCCCAGCACACCAGTTTCGTGTACCTTCTTCCCTCACTCCTCTCATTTCTTCTCCGCTCGTTTTCAATCTATTCATATAATCACCCCCAAAAACTCTCTCTCTCCCTCTTTCTCTCTCTGGAGAAGAAGATGGAGATGGCTGACCAGAAGACCGTGGCTAAAGATGCCGTCTCCAACAACGGCGTCGAACGGAAGTCGATCGAGGACTTCGATCCTCCGGCGAAGCCGCGCCGGAACAAGTATGCCCTCGCCTGCGCCAGCTTGGCCTCCATGACCTCCGTTTTGCTCGGTTATGGTCAGTTCCCTCTCTCTCTCTCTCTCTCTCTCTCTCTCTCTCTCTCGATGCGTTCGATGTTGTTACAGCATGGGAAGACTCGTCCTGGTGACCCGTCCATGATGTTTGGAACTCTCTAAACCACATATCTTTGCGATGTCATTTGTGAATTTATTTGCATACAGCGAATCATAATAATAGATCTATTGCAAAAAGTCATTTGTTTAATGGATAGGAGATGAAAAAGAGCAAAAGAAAAACGAGAAATTTTCAATTTTTCGCATATTTGCATATATAGCAATAAATGGTTTCGTACAACATCATAATTTTTTTCCCCTTTTGAGCCAACCAACTTAATTTTGAATAAAATCCATCGTGCTTATTATTTATAATATTCTCATCTTATTAACAATATATATAAAAGAAAATCAACTTGAAGAAAAAGGGAGGAGAAAAGGTCACAGGATTTTTTTAATTATTTTTTTAATTTCTTGTAAATAAGATTTTTTTTTAAACTTTGGCAGATATAGGAGTGATGAGTGGAGCGGTCTTATACATACAGAAGGACCTGAAGATAACCGACGTGCAAGTGGAGGTCTTGACGGGGATCCTCGCTGTGTACTCGCTTCTTGGGTCGGCGATGGCAGGGCGAACCTCCGATTGGATCGGCCGCCGCTACACCATCGTCTTGGCTGGGGCCATCTTCTTCGCCGGGGCCCTCCTCATGGGCTTCGCCCCCAACTACGCTTTCCTCATGTTTGGCCGCTTCGTCGCTGGCATCGGCGTCGGCTACGCCCTCATGATCGCCCCCGTCTACACCGCCGAGGTCTCCCCTGCCTCCTCCCGCGGCTTTCTCACCTCCTTCCCCGAGGTACTTACTCATTTTCTTTTTTTTCCCCCTAATTTGATAGCATCTTTTTCATTTTTTCGTTTGTCATTAATTTTATCTTTTTGTTGTTGAACATGCATTATTCTTGTTACAAGAAAAATTGAAGTTAGAAAGGTGATTATGTTTTAGGGCTTATTTTTCTTATCTAGAACTTTTTGTTATTACGGCCACCAACCAGTATGAATGGATGTCATTTCAATGGTTCAGGTGTTCATCAACGTCGGCATCCTCCTTGGCTATATCTCTAACTATGCCTTCTCCAAGCTTCGCCTCAACCTCGGGTGGCGTATGATGCTTGGCGTGGGAGCAATCCCCTCGGTCCTCCTTGCGTTTGTGGTCCTCGTCATGCCCGAGTCCCCCCGGTGGCTCATCATGCAGGGCCGCCTGGGCGACGCAAAGCGTGTCCTAGCCAGGACGTCCGACTCCAAGGAGGAGGCCGCGCTCCGGCTTGCCGACATCAAGGAGGCTGCTGGCATCCCTGAGGAGTGCAACGAAGATGTTGTCAAGGTCACCAAGCGGAGCACTGGGGAAGGCGTGTGGCGCGATCTCCTCCTCCACCCGACCCCGTCAGTCCGCCACGTCCTCATATGCGCTGTTGGCATCCACTTCTTCCAACAAGCCTCTGGCATCGACGCCGTCGTCCTCTACAGCCCTCGCATCTTCAAGAAGGCCGGCATCACCTCCTCTGACAAATTGCTCGTCGCCACCATTGCGGTCGGCTCTGTAAAGACAATGTTCATCCTCGTTGCCACCTTCCTCCTTGACCGAGTTGGGAGGCGGCCGTTGTTGTTGACCAGTGTTGGCGGGATGATCGTCTCGCTTGCCTCTCTTGGAATGTGCCTCACCATCATCGACCACAGCCACACGAAACTCATGTGGGCGGTTGTTATGTGCATCACGTCAGTGTTGTCCTATGTGGCGTTCTTCTCTATCGGAATGGGGCCAGTCACGTGGGTGTACAGCTCAGAGATCTTCCCGCTAAGATTGCGTGCGCAGGGGTGTGCGATCGGTGTCGGCATGAACCGTGTGACGAGTGGAGTGTTATCGATGACGTTCATATCACTATATAAGGCGATCACCATCGGTGGGGCCTTTTTCTTGTTCATGGGGATCGCATGCGTCGCGTGGGTGTTTTTCTACACGTTTATGCCAGAGACGCAGGGGCATACGCTGGAGGAGATGGAGCAGTTTTTTGGTAAATACACACAGTGGAGGTCCGTGGCCAGGGAGTTGGAGATGCGAAAGAACAAAGCGGTGGTCAATGGTGACGGAGTTAGTGGCGAGGGGCAGTTAGAGAAATGATTATAAGGTGGGGAGTATCTGATAGATATGAATGCCCTTGTTAGGGTTTTTAGAGTAATTATACGTAATATGAATTGGTTGATGATTGCTGACCATGGACAACGAGGAAAAGGGTTGCTTCTTGTTTGACATTTTTAAGAAACATAAACGAATTACTACGATGAATTTTAAAAGAAGAAGCCAAGAGAAATTCCTTGGGAAATTTAATTCCCGTTGGAATAAGAAATCTACCCTTTTTCCTTTGATATAGTGGTTGGTACTTTTCACCTACAATTTGGATCTTTACCTAAAAAAGTTACAAAGGTTATTGTCTAGACTTATTCTGTCAAACTAAAATTAATCATGAATCGATGAATCTGGAAGAACATCAATTTCCACTCATTTCATTTAGTATTGATTATTACCCTCCGTATCTCAAGTTTGGAACTTGGGTGGTTTTATTATTGCGCAATTTGGTACCAATATGCCAAATCTAAATTTCTTTTTATCATCAAATTTATAAGCTACGAAGTGTGTTGTGGCTTCTATTTTCTTTTTGCCACACTTCAGTGAATCCTCATGTATAATTTTCAAATTTAATAATGAAACCAGGTTATATTCAAAGGAAGGCTATATCACACCCAATGATAATTTCATATCCGTTCATAAACAAATGAAATTAAAGTCACATAATTCATAAATTGAATAAGAAAAAGGGGATTGGTGGTCACTACACAAATTATCATGAAAGATACAATAGAAGTTGGATAAATCTATCCATCGATTAAGCTTTCAAAATAGTTACGATAATATCGTTCTATACCCGATAAATATACTTCAAAAATATTTAATAAATATTAGAGAAAAAGAAAACTTAATGGAGAGAGAGAAGAGAGAGAAGCCAAGTAAACTTAATATATATAAAAAGAAAACTTAATATATATAGTCTTAGAATATATTAAAGCTACATTGTTGTTTGGATTGGTCATCATCGATGTTAAGACTCATCACGAAGCGGAGGAGCAAGCATTCAACATTAAAGTCTCGTTGCGATTTCTGTTTTAAGGTTTAGGACAAATTTATTTGGTCCAATTTTCCTCTTTTGGTCCATTATAAAATGGAGAGAAATTAAAATCTGTACAAGTTTTAGGTATTGTCCAATCTTACTAATTTTACAATCTCGAATCACAATCTTGTCACGATTTAATCTTGTTCCTATCTAAAAGAGAATTTGAAACGAATGGGAGTACCCAGATAATGGAGATTCAAGATCCTATAAATTCGCAAAAAGGATGACATGTTACAATGTCTTAGATTTTGTATGTCCAACACCCTTTCACCAAGGCTTGAAAAAATTCGATTGGCTATGTGTATACTTATGCATTTAATTTGCTCAGTTGATGTTTCCAAACACCACGATGGCAGTTGACTTGTTTAACAGGAACATCTAGGAGTAGGAATGAAGATGTGTCAATATATTCGATATGTCAACCCTCATTTCTTTCACTTTCTTCTTCTTCTTCTCGTCCTTTGCTTTTTGTCCCAATTGATAGGGAAAGATTATTTTTTCTAATGATGTACGGTACAATATGATACCATAGGATATCCGGCTTCACAAGTATTTCGATACAAAATACATGAAAGGGAACTTGTTCTCAATTTCACTAGGACAGGGTGCTCCTCATCTGATTTCAATGATAGGAGGTCATGTTGCTCATTCAATAATAATTATAAATAAATAAAATATAGAAAAACTTTCAGCTGTAGTTTGAAAAATCATGTGGCGATTGTGCTTCTAAGAAAAGGGTCCACTGCTGAGTGGTTGAAATGGTAGGGAGGATTGCTTATGGAGAAGATTTAAAAGGGGCATGGACACATTTCAATTGATGCATTGTCTCCTAATTGTTGATGTTTGGAGGGACTGATTTCTTGCTCTAGTCACTGTCTTTGCCGCTGCTCTCAGTCATCAACCTTTCCCCTTTTTGTCTTATTTCTTAATTTCCTTTCTTTAAATTTGAGATTCCTAGTTCTCAAAATAGTAGGACCACCAAAATTTCACACTCAAAAGATTTTTTTTTATGCACAGATTAACAAGCAGGGCCAAAAGAGAAGAGATTCAAGATGTGGCACAGAATTCATATGGGACATCAATCAGAGTGACTGTGAAACTAGTGATGACAGGTTGAAGTGTGCAGGGCAAAGCTGTACCAGATTTCTTCAATAGGAAAGGCTTCATCTGTGGTGCAAGTGAGGCTTGCCAAACAGTGCATGTTCAATTAATACTGTGTCTAGGAATCTGACACCTTGCTCCGGTTCATCTTCTGATCAATCATACATCAGGTGATCCAAAGTTCTTTCTGAGTTGTCAACTGCAGAGAGTTTTAAAGCAACGATTGGGGCAGTGTCTGGTCAGCTAACAAGGAATATCAGAAGAAGTGCATCAAAATCAACTAGATGGAGTGAAGTTGCAACTGTGTATAGAACCAGAGACTAAGGGCCCGTTTGGTAACATGCCAAACAGTGAAAATTTCTGTTATTTTGTTCCCAGAAATAGTTTGGGAACAGAAATGCGTTTGGTAAACTTTTTGTTCCCGGGCACATTTTTACAAAAAATTATGCCCAGAAACAGTTTTGGAACAGAAACAAGAAGTAAAAAAAAGTTGCTTCTTGTTTCTCGACACAATCTTGAGAATGAGTTCTTTTTCTTCTTTTTCTTTTCTTCTTTGTGTTGTTCTTCCCTAGGCTGTGGCCGGTCGCCGACGGCCAGCCGGCTGCCAGCGACCGGCCATAGCCTAGGGCCGACGAGAGCGTCACGGCCCTCGCCGGCCACTAGTGGAGGCGAGGGTGAGGGCTGGACCCTCGCCGCCTGGGCGAGGCGGCTCGCCGTCGATCATGGCGAGGTCGGCCTCGCCCAGATCGGGCGAGGCCGAGCCTCGCCGTCGCGACTGACGGCGAGGTCGGCTTCGCCGTGGGTCGCGACGGCGAGGCTCGTCCTCGCTCGATCTGGGCGAGGCCGACCTCGCCGTCGCGACCCACGGTGAGGTCGGCCTTGCCAGTCGCGACCGACGGCGAGGTCGACTTCGCCGTGGGTCGTGACGGTGAGGTCGGCTTCGCCGTGGATCGCGACGTCGAGGCTCGGCCTCGCCCGATCCGGGCGAGGCCGACCTCTCCGTCGCGACCCACGGTGAGGTCGGCTCGCCCCGGATCGGGCGAGGCCGAGCCTCGCCGTCGCGACCCACGGCGAGGCTCGGCCTTGCACGATCTAGGCGAGGCCGGCGGTGAGGCAGCGGCCAGGGCGCGTCGCCCGCCTCAGTGGCCGGTCGCCGGCGCCGGCGACCGACCCTGGCCAAAGAAGGGAAGGGTAGAAAGAAAAAAAAAGAAAAAATATTAATCAATTTAAAATATTATTAATAAAAGAAATTTTGTGTAGTTACCAAACGTATTTTGTTCTTTTCTATCCCAGGAATAGAAATTTTGGATGATTCTACCAAACGCCTTCAAATGCTTAGAAATTGTTTTAGACACGAATAAAAAGAATTATTTCTGAGTAGAAATAGTTCCCGAGTACAGAATGATTGTCATGCACACTCTAAGCTTATGTTATCGGGTGCAATTACCGAGGAAAAAGTCATTTTGATGATGCCTTCAACTGATTAGCATTTGAGGAATAAGTCGGATTTCATGATGTGTAATGTGTCATAATAAGGAAGTTAGAGTGATTATCTGTTTGTCCCTCATTGACGATAATTTTATATTTTTTGGATGTTGATGTTTTAAATCGCCAGTGGATTGATTCAATCGAGACTTGAAAGACTACGATCTTTAGATTTTTCACGCAATATCGTTTTCAACGAGAGAACTACGAAATCCACGACTAATAATGTTTTTAGATTTCGTGACTTGAGGTATAAGTTGTTGACATTAGGATTTACAAATGGGCAGGAAATCCTTCCATCAATTCAAAGCATTAGGTAATGACCAGAATTATTTACACATATCTTTCCAACCATTTCATGATATCCGAGCATAAAATATAAGGGAGACAGAAGAACTTGGGGGAATAGAAAGCCAACATCAAACTTCTTATGATTTTCCTAAACTCGAATGATCAAACATTATACCAAATGGAAATTATTTAAAAAGGCACACTTTAACATAGTATCGGTATAGGTACAAGAACATCTGGAGGAGACACTCGAGTTACCTTCATATAAATAACTGCTGAAACCCCTAAACTAAAGGTTTTGTTATCCAATTGAAAGTCCACCACAACACAGCAAGCACCTCTTTTGAGAAAAAGCCCCACTTCAAACCCTTTTTTGAAATAATCCCTAAGAATATTTTGACTCGACATCCAAGTTGATTCATTTCTACGATAGTAAAAATGATCCAAGGAAGTTTTATAGCCACAAACATCAAAAAAAAAAATTCGACGAACACAAACGTCAAATTTAGAGAAGGCTTGAATTTTAAAGACGTTTCCTTCCTAGTTTTTTTTTTTAGGGGGGCCGGACCTTCCTAGTTAATGTGAAAGCTATCCATCATTTATGCAAAAGAGAAAGAAAACTATTCACCACCATCACTAATTTTTGGGTCCTTAGTATTGGGTCCTTCAGCAGCGTTTCCGCAGATACTGATCTAAAAAAGGGGGTTTACCAAAAATAAGAATGAATGAATGCAGGTATTCTATCCCTTATGGCGCCCCTCTTACTTCTTAGGCCCTTACCACATGGGACTGACTTTTAGTATTCAATTCATTCCAATTCGGGCATAAGGCTCTCTGGCCTCAGGTTTCTTATGTACAAGATACTCGTAGAGGCGAGTGCACATATTACCAGGAAGTAATCAAGACTTTGCTATCATGCCATTCTAAGATATCTAATATCTACAGGCTTTCAGGGAGGAAGGAAGTGTTTAACCACTCATGATTTTGCACACTGAACACTCAGGCTAAGATCGTGATTATATTAGATTTCTTTCTCTTATCCTATCTATTAACTATTAGAAATTAAAATATAACTCATCCTCGTGTCATCTATCCAACAGTGAATATGTAAAATAAAGATTACTTTATCTATCGTCATGGCGGGGTGGCACCGCCATTGAGGAGAAAAGAGAGGCGGCAAGAAAGAGTGAGAGGCGAGAAATCAAAAGAGATTGAGAAATCCATCGTCGGGAGTAATCAGGGCATTCCTAAAGAATAGGTCTTTACTTACAAATCACTTTACAAGCCATGCGTATGGACTTGGGGTATTACAACTATGGACGAAAGTATCATACCGCAAGCCCTCCCAACGGTTAAACGAACAGATATTGATGCATGACCCGTGTCGAGTAATTAAAAAAATCGAGATAAACATACAAATTGTGAGGAAAAGATAATTCTACGACATACAAGCTTACAAGATTGATGTAATGTCCTCTCCTCGGAGAAGCATAGTTGGTGCACAGCATTATCACTGATATAATAAGCAAGCTGAGATTAACATCTATAAGAGTCCTCAAACACAGGCAATCCATTGCAATAATTCAACACTGGTCTTTACACCAAAATCTACACATGCAGTGCAGTTTATCATACTAATCCGTCCTCTTGTCAAAGTTCAAGAGATCAAAGAGATCGATACCGTCGCTCGGAGTTAATGGCATGTAGCAAGGTCTGTCACTAGGTCCGTCGACATGCTGATGGTCATCATAAGACAAGAGTTGCTCTTTGCATGGTCGAGGCTGCTGATTAGGAGTAGGTACAGTCCGGTCTGGTAAATTAGAATTCGATGTGTCGTTCAGAATGTCCGGTTCAATAGTAACTCTTGGAGATGCCTGAGCCCAAAAAAAAAAAAAACAGAACAGTACTCGAGCTTTAGTTTAGTTTAGATATATCTGTAGATCATAAGTTGCTTTGGGTTAATCTAAAGCAACATTTGCTCACCGTGCACTAATTGCTTGTGTTCCTTCATTTTGGGAATCATTCAGCTTATTGAGGCCGCTTAAATCGGTTGACGTACTCGCTTTTGCTGACTTTGCTTTCTTACTTTTCCTGTTTATTATGCTCACAGAGAACCAACGCCATCTACAAAGACAAAATGGTACCGGGGATGAGTTTCAGATAACTGAAATTCCATTGTTACACGAAAGTATTTTATGCACGATATACATCGTGCGTCACTTATCAAAATTGATGCAATTTAAATTTCAAGAACAAATTGTCCCCTTTGTTGCTGCAGAATCACTCTATTTTTGGCAGTATGACCATCACTAGTCACTGGAACTAAAACACCAGTGATGAATCTATCACATAAAATGACTATTGGTAAGGTTGGTGTCTCAATCTTCCTCATGAAATTCTACGAAATACAATAGGAAAATTTCCACTTTGAAGATACTAGCGTTCGATATACTGCTGGAATTGGAGGTAAATCGCACTTAAATCGTGGGACATAGGGAGGAGCTAGCCAATCATGAACTCAAAGAAGCTGAATGAGGAACACATGTAGAGAAATGAAATCAAGTTTACCTGCACTTGTAACCATGTTAGAGATGCTCAATTAGGGGAAGCAAAAGAAGAGCAGTCAAATATTGGGTCCGAAATTTCACCATCCGAAACATTCGAATTAGGTAATATTCGTGCATGACCACATCAGTCTCATGGCCCTTGGTTGTCGACCTTCGGTTGTCGACCTTCATAGTAAACCGAAATCCTCTTGGTCCCCATTGGCTTAGCGGTGTCTGGTGCTCATGTAACGTGTCTGTTACTTGTCTCTTTCCAAAATCCGCACTCGGTCTTCCTCTTACAACCACGGGGACAAAAGAAGAAACTCTTGCGTTAATCCAATGGTCCACTTGATAATGATACAAGCAACTATTGTTTAATGTTAGTTCACTAAGGTGTTATAGGCAACTACCAATTTCCATACCATAAGAGCATAGAGAAATAGAAAAACACTAAGGGCTAAATGTAAGTTGTCATCACATAGGATAAATAAATCCTAAGGCTCCCAGTTGCAGATGTATAGCTCCGGAATTACGCATTTGGTTTCCATTTCTCCTTCGAGCTTTTTCGTCAATCAATGACCAATGAGTTCGTCCTCCGTTGGTTTGAATCTGAGTCCCTCTGGCCACCCCTCCGTTGATGCTGCCATGGTATATGCTTGCAATCTAACATTCAATTCTGCAATATAAAAAGAAGGAGAAGAGGAGAGAATGGGACTGGAGAATAAGCAGAGGAAGAGAACAGAAACAGAGGAAACAGAGCTTTCTCTTGGCTTGGCTTTGCTTGAGAGTGTCGACTCCAGACACTTTCAAGTGGGTCAATTTATAAATACAAAAGACAAGCACTTTAGAGAAGGAAAAAACAGTTCAAGTGGACCCAACCTCAAGCTCAAGACGACGACGTTTCCACTAACACCAGCTTCTTTGAAGTCCACGAGGCTATTTAACTTTGTTACTGCGACCCATCTGGTTGTTTTAATCAATGGAAAAATATGAAAGCTTATAGCTTCATGACCTCGTATATGCATGATTAAGCTTTTATCTTCCAGAGGAGTGTGAACTTTGTGGGGAAATAAATTCTAGGGCAGGCTCGTATACTTTAGCAAAAGTTAGATAGATGTTCTTGACTCAAAAGTTTAAATTGCATCATAATCTATGCCATCGATTTTATTTCGGCACCCCTGTTTTTTTTTCTATAACTGGATGATTCTCCGGCCGTTATACAAGTTCCCCTACATCGTTTTCTTTGAATCGATATAGCTCTTCTTGCATACTTCAATTCAATTTCCATCCTACAGTGCTTCCTCCAAATCCTTTGGTTCTATATCGGATGGGAACGTCATGGAGTTCTGGAGGATGATCTAGTCTCGATTCCTTCTAAGACATCTCCGAGGATTTGCTCCTTTGAATGATTCGATTTGAACTCCCAATCTTTGCGGATAGGTGCAGAGTCAGTGACCTGTTCCTCTTTTTGGCTTCTTTGCTTCTGTAGAAGCTGCCGCATCTGTATTTTGGGTGGGTTCTTTATTTTCCACAGCTTCTACAAACTTATGAGAATCTTCAAATTGGCTATGGTTGCCATTTTGCCAACCGATTCATTTTCCTTTTTCCAATACTTAGTTTTATTTTCATTTGATTTTGCCACATCATGATATAATACGTGGAAAATATATATTAACTAAATATAAAAAATCACTTGAACAATGTTTTATTTGATAAATAACAAGTTGCCTCTTGCATTGCCATGTATATTTTTCAATAAAGCTACCGACCAAATATTATAATCAATTGTGAACAATAGAGCATGATCTGTTGGCACACACCATCGATGTATATCAACGCAATGTACCTAACCCGAGATGAGTTTGGTCTACTTTATCTAAGAGATTGAGAGTCTCGTTACTTCAATTATGATAATGGGAAATATCATTCACCATTCGAGTTGGAACTTAGATGGCGAGCCTCACAAATCAGAGGTAAAATAAAAACGCAAGGAGATATTTGCAGGCATCCGAATCTGTAGGGCAGGAGTACGCGTGCCATAGCAACCAAAACATCACACTGGATGAAACATACAGATAACTCTGAGACCCCGGTTCTCTACTAAATATACTCAATCAAGGCATTTGTCCTGCTGGAAGAAGAAATTCAAATGAGTAGAGAATTTATTGGAACTGTAAAATGTTTTATGGACACATCTTGATTGGAAGGATTCATCTACTAATGGAACTGATGCAGTAACAGAAACTGAACACTGTACATGTGTCAGTATCTCAACTCTACTTGTAGAGTATATATTCTACACCACCAATGTACCAAACGAAAAGTCCAAAAGCAAAAGAAGTCAAACGGCAAAGAGCAGTCTCTGAGTCCAATTCTGCACCAGTTACTTGACGATCGTCATCATCTTGAAGCTGGCAGCAGTTCACAGTGGTCCATCATAAACAACCTTCGCAGCCGAGTAAACCAACCGAGCATCATCTGCCGAGGAAGGGTTGGCACAATCATTCCTGGCCTCATTACATATTATTACTTCACATCCATTTCAAAAAGACTAGGAATCCAGCATCAAGATTAAACTAACGAAAGCCTTTTTGATTTATTCCGTTCGTGTCTGGAATAGGCAATATAGTGCAAAATGTACCTCTATAGCATTCTCAGCACATTCATTAGCTTGTTCCTATTGAAAGAAGATATCATGTTCAGAACCAGCCTCTACATGTTGCGCGATTGCTTTCCTTGATGAGTCGCACTCGTTTCCATTACACCAATTTGTTTTATACCCACTCTACTGAAATTATTAAAATTAACACAGCAAAAGAAGTAGAATCAAACCAAACTGATATAATATCCAAGAATGCATAAATTCCCTGCTGTCTCTATTGAAAGAATATTCATACCTGCAACTCCAATTAGATCAAACGTCAAGGGTACGTTCGAATCTGCCTTGACAGTGGCTTTTGCTGCTGCAATACCAACTGAGATGGCTTGTATAATGTTCAAACCTTCACATATTGATGCAAGTGTAGCACCCACCAAACAATCGCCAGCCCCAGTAAGCTTCTTAACAGATGCAGGAAGGCCAGGAAGATGCAAAGCAAAGAGATGAGAGGTTCCCTCGATCTGTCTGGCATCATGAAACTTATGTGAAAGGCAATTAGGTGAGATCAGTCTGTGCAGTTCTGAACTTACACCAAGTGTTTGGGGTTTCTCCACAACAGTTCTCGTCAAAATAGACCCCTCTTTAGAGCATAGAAATACTCCTCGTGCGCCTATGGTTACAACTACAATTTTTACGCCCTTCTCAAGCAAAAGAATTATTGCAGGTTTTAGCATTTTGATGAGCGATTCTGGAGGACAGTTCTTTTCGCTCTTATAACTTTCGCTCGAACAATATAACTTTCCAGGAGATAGTGCATCTGCCATTGCAAAGAGCTCATCTTCATTTGGAGATACATAAGTTACCTGCAAAGAGCCCACTTTGTCAGTAGCAGATCTGCAATATGAAGCTTTCAGAATTTAGGAACTGCTTAATGCCACTCTTAAACTATGCCCATGTGAGCTGAATTTTGTTTATCCTAATGCCATATTGTTTTCATAACTGAAAAGGATGCCAAAACCAAGAAACCAACTATATAAACCAGTAACACTTTATTTCATTGCCTGATCGATAGGAACTTGATGCGGTCAATTTTTACTCAAAAATGAGATCTTGTCAAAGTTTAACAATATCACAAACATGAATCAATTGTGTGTGATGTATGGTTTATAATTTCCTAGTTGAATTAAGAAAATATTATGTGTGTATCACACTTAAGTGTATTCACTATGGAAAAGTTTCCTTCAACTCATCTAGACTGCAAATTAATATCCTAGTGGAAGAATAACATCACCAGCCATCCTGACTACTGGAAATATTATCACCAGGCTATGAATTTGACATACATTATTAACGAAAGTTTATGCAAAGCCACTAAATTTTGTTTTGATATGCTACATGCAGATTCTCCAACCTAAACAACGACTTCACCATTTTCCTACATAGCCATACGGATGGTAAGCAATTCTATGAAATATGTTGAAAACAACTGCTTTATTCATTTTCCAGCGTACATAACTAATGGTCTGAGTAAATCAATTTGAAGCACTAAACTTTTTTCATCTGTTTACACCAAAAAATGGCCAACTTGTCGACATGGTTCGTTTGTGCCAAACATCATCAAGGGACACGTGGCGGAGACTTGAGGTAACGTGGAAGCAAATATCATCAAGTTGCCAACATAAGGGACATCATGTGTATATATTTACACCAAAAAATGACCATTTTTTGGGTATTATTGACAAGACTGGTCACGACTTCATCAAGGAAATTTCAGTTCTGCGCTAGCTCGGGAAAATGGTCATAACTTCTTTGAGACAGATCGGATTGACCTGATTCCAAAGCCAAAAGAACGAAGACTCCTGGATCTACAACTTTATGTTTTGAGTTTTCTCAGAAAATTACTGTAGAAGCCATCAAGGTTAAAGGAAGTCGACGGTCGTGACTTCATCTTGTCGATACTTTGACGAAATTGCAGTTCTGCGCTAGTTCGGGAAAATGGTCATAACTTCTTCAAGACAGATCGGATTGACTTGATTCCAAAGCCAAAAGAACGAAGACTCATGGATCTACAACTTTTATGTTTTGAGTTTACTGAGAAAATCACTGTAGAGTTTTCGACATTAAGAGGAAGTCGACGGTTGTGACTGGTTGGAGATGCAGAAAGAAGAAGTAACCGTCAACATAATGGAGTCAAAGCAACCGCCAACGTAGTGGAGTCAAAAAAAGAACCGTTAGGGTAGTGGATTCAACGTAACTGTTGGAAACCACTAAGGAGCAAACATGCGTATTTTGAGAGAACAGTTACTTGGAACCATGATTATGAGGAAGTTATCACTTGTGGACAACATCGTGAGATAGTTATCTTGAAAGCAGAATCATGGCATCACATGGACATGAAGACAAGATTTTCGGAATGGAAGAATATGGGCACAACTGTTGAAAACTGCTAAGGAGTAGTTACCACACGACCATTATAAATATCACCGGCCATCTACCGGAGAGGAAACCCCGACAAAAATCAAACAACATGTTATCTTTCAATTATCTTTACTTTCATGTACTGCACTTTATCTTTCCTTAGCTGTAGCTTTCCGATTCGCGTCGTCGATTAAATTCCGGTGTGTATCTCTATCCCGAGTGTTGCGTCGTCGATTAAATTCCGGCGTTACATCTTTGTGTACGTGTGCAGCTGTATTTTCAAGCTCTGTTGTTGATTAAATTCCGGCACGGTTTGTACATATAGTCCAGTTCGAAGTTCGGAGTAAAAGTTCGCCGTTTTTTCTTGTCTCCCTGGATATTTCCTGTCCGGAGTCGCCACGGAACCCGGTCTCCTCACATTAAGAACCGAAGAACGACTTTCGGTGAATTATATTTCGCCGCGGGAGCATTTTCCGGTGAAACATAATTTTGGCACGCCCGGTGGGACCATTGTGGTTGATTTGAGGAGATACGATGCCGAGAGCAAGGAAACAAGTTGATCCCCATTACGCTGGTGGTAACAACTCATCACCACAACATGAAAATGACAAAGTGGGATGTTTCTGAGTCATCAACTGCACAACCGGTAGCAGAACAAGAGCAAGGTGAAGATGTTGACAACCCAAGACAACTCACTGATGAGCAGAGAATGCAATTACAGCTAGATCCTATGATGTTTGCTTCTATGAGGAGGATTCTCCACGAACATTAGAAGGAAACGATTAACCATATGATAAAATGCGTCATCGATGTGATAAAGCCCATAATTGTCAACACCTTCCAAGAGGTCATCCACGGGCTTGGAACATCAAGTGGTTCAATTGAAGTGCAGGCGAGTCTGGATAATCCTACTCAAGTGATTCATAGTCAAGATCCTCAACAGGTTGAGGTAATACTAGACCAAACGGTGCCACGCATGGAATATGATCCGGTAAATACAAGAGCCATATACAAAAAGCCATATCCAGAGTGGATGGACTCGATACCATATCCAAGAGGTTTTGAAATTCCTAATTTCAACCTTTTTTCTGGCGAAGATGATCAATCGACAGTCGAGCATGTTAGTCGATTCGAAGCACAATGTGGTGATGCATCTCATGCCGATTGTTGGAAGTTAAGGTTATTTCCCTTGTCATTATCCAAGACAGCCTTCACGTGGTACACATTTTTACCGGCTAATTCTATACATTCTTGGGAGCAAATGGAGACAAAGTTCCATAGCCAGTTCTACAGGTTAGTTCACAATGTGTCCATTACTGATTTAGCTGATATTAAGCAATATAGTTATGAATCAGTAGAGCAGTTCATTTCCAGATTCAAGAGGGCTAGAAATAGATGTCTTACTTCACTCCCGGAGAAAGAATTTACAAATTTGGCTTTCAATGGATTGAACTTTAATTTGAGAGAAAAATTTGAAGGCCAAAATTTTGCCGATTTATTCCAATTGGCAACGAGAGTGTCTCAATATGAGCAATTACTTAAGGACGGAGATAGAGGGCCACATGAAGACTTTACTGACGACGTGTCTTTCGAGAAACAAATATGAGCCATATGAGAATATGAAATTCGGCAAAAAAAAAAAAAAAAAAAAATCATATTTGCCGATGACAAGGGGGCATATGATGACTCTTGCTTACCTAATTTAAAAGAATCGAATGATTGATGAATCATTCCATTCTTTTAAAAGGGGCATATGTTTACACCAAAAAATGGCCAACTTGTCGACATGGTTCGTTTGTGCCAAACATCAGCAAGGGACATGTGGCGGAGACTTGAGGTAACGTGGAAGCAAATATCATCAAGTTGCCATCATAAGAGACACATGTCAGAGACATGTGTCATGTGTATATATTTACACCAAAAAATGACCATTTTTTGGGTATTATTGACAAGATTGGTCACGACTTCATCAAGGAAATTTCAGTTCTGCGTTAGCTCGGGAAAATGGTCATAACTTCTTTGAGACAGATCGGATTGACCTGATTCAAAAGCCAAAAGAACGAAGACTCCTGGATCTACAACTTTTATTTTGAGTTTTCTCAGAAAATCACTGTCTAAGCCATCAAGGTTAAAGGAAGTCAACGGTCGTGACTTCATCTTGTCGATACTTCGACGAAATTGCAGTTCTGCGCTAGTTCGGGAAAATGATGATAGCTTTTTCGAGACAGATCAGATTGACCTGATTCCAAAGCCAAAAGAACGAAGACTCATGGATCTACAACTTTTATGTTTTGAGTTTTCTCAGAAAATCACTGTAGAATCCATCAAGGTTAAAGGAAGTCGACGGTCGTGACTTCATCTTGTCGATACTTCGACGAAATTGCAGTTCTGCGCTAGTTCGGGAAAATGGTCATAACTTCTCCAAGACAGATCGGATTGACCTGATTCCAAAGCCAAAAGAACGAAGACTCATGGATATACAACTTTTATGTTTTGAGTTTACTCAGAAAATCACTGTAGAGTTTTCGACATTAAGAGGAAGTTGACGGTTGTGACTGGTTGGAGATGCAGAAAGAAGAAGTAACCGTCAACATAGTGGAGTCAAAGCAACCGCCAACGTAGTGGAGTCAAAAAAGAACCGTCAAGGTAGTGGATTCAACGTAACTGTTGGAAACCACTAAGGAGCAAACATGCGTATTTTGAGAGAACAGTTACTTGGAACCATGATTATGAGGAAGTTATCACTTGTGGACAAGATCGTGAGACAGTTATCTTGAAAGCAGAATCATGGCATCACATGGACATGAAGACAAGATTTTCGAAATGGAAGAACATGGGCACAACTGTTGAAAACTGCTAAGGAGCAGTTACCACACGACCATTATAAATATCACCGGCCATCTACTGGAGAGAGGAAACCCCGACAAAAATCAAACAACATGTTATCTTTCAATTATCTTTACTTTCATGTACCGCACTTTATCTTTCCTTAGCTGTAGCTTTCTAATTCGCGTCGTCGATTAAATTCCGGCGTGTATCTCTATCACGAGTGTTGCATCGTCGATTAAATTCCGGCGTTACATCTTTGTGTACGTGTGCGGCTGTATTTTCAAGCTTTGTCGTCGATTAAATTCCGGCACGGTTTGTACATATAGTCCGGTTCGAAGTTCGGAGTAAAAGTTCGCCGTTTTTCCTTGTCTCCCTGGATATTTCCTGTCCGGAGTCGCCACGGAACCCGGTCTCCTCACATTAAGAACCGAAGAACGACTTTCGGTGAATTATATTTCGCCGCGGGAGCATTTTCCGGTGAAACATCATCAGAATATTTTTCTTTTTGCTCTCCGTCAGTCAGGTGCTAAGGATGATGCTAATCAACTACTCCATTAGCAATCGAGTCAGAAATTTGAGATTGAAAGACATTATGTCGTGACTTCCATAAAATGTATTATTGAGCCTATCCGATTGTTTATCAACTTCAGACTTAAACAAGTTTACTCAGCACAGAGAAAATAGCACAAAAGAAAGTAAATGCCCATCACAAGGCGAAGCACTCACATACTTCACAAGAGGAGCAATTTTTTTGGATTTGGCAACTGATACTGGTTCAAACCGCAGAGGAATATTATCTCCCGCAGCCACTGCAAACAAAATTTAAAGAAAAATCAAGTTAATTCTGAAGAGCTTTCTATTGACTCAGAGTAGATCATTTGATGAAGCCAGATGAAAAATCAAACCACGCCGTATGTTTAGAATTACATTGACAAGAAGCTTCAAGAGCACAATCGTTCAGGTTAGCATCAACCATGACTACTGGAGCAGAAGATATCTTGTATCTAAATTGTTGAATCCACTCAGCAGTGAGAAATTTCTCCTGAAGGTCATCAGTGAGTGCATTTATGCATCTTAGAGATAACACAAGTATGCCCGCTCATCCTGATATTTTTTTTAGCAAAATTAACTTACAATTGACTCAAAGCTTGCAACACCGGCAGCTACCTCACCATTTGGATCAAGTACACAGCAGACCACAGCAGTTGTAATATCTTGGGTTTGAAGGATACCTGCCTTGAAATTGCTGAGTTTAAGAACTTCATATAACTTATGCCAAAAAAATAGGAGAGTACCTAGTACTTATTATGACAAAGTAAATAAGAGTGATTAGAAGGATAAATTTGAGCAGTGTACTTAGCTGGCTGTAAAGCTAAATTTACCAAAGTTCCATCACTACAATCTATTTAGGCTGCGCATGGCAACCATTCTGTGCTCGGAAACAGATTCTGCTTAGAAATGATTCTTTTTTATTCCATACCCGGGAACAATTCCTAAGCATTTGAAGGTGTTTGGTAACTGTCCAAAATTTCTATTTTTAGAATAGAAAAAAAAACAAAAATGCATTTGGTAACTACACAAAATTTCTCTTTATTAATAATATTTTGAATTTTTTAATATTTCTTTATTTTCCTTGGCCATGGCCGGTTCCCGGCGCCGGTGACCGGCCACAGGCCAGGGCCGGCGAGGTCGGCCTCGCCTTGGCTGGGTGAGACTCGACCTCGCCTAGAGCTGGTGAGGCCGACCTCGCCGTCGCGGATCCCAGGCAAGGTCGAGCCTCGCCTCGCCATGGCTGGGGCGAGGCCTCGCGTCGCGGCCGTGAGCCGCGCTCACCCGAGCGGCGAGGGGGACCCTCGCCGCCCACAGGCGAGGGCCGCGACGCCGTCGCCGGCCCTGGCCTATGGCCGACAGGGGCAGCGGCAGGCGGGCTGGAAAGAAGAAGAAGAACAAATCAAGAAAAAAGAAGAAAAAAGAAGAAAACCAAAAGAATCAGAAATGAAAAATTTGTTCCAGAATCAAGAAGCTACTTTTTTTTGCTTCTTGATTCTGGAAATAATTTTTTGCAAAAGTGTGCCCAGGCACAAAAAATTTAACAAACGGATTTTTGTTCCCAAACTGATCCTGGGAACAAAAGAACAAAATTTTTTACTGTTTGGCAAGTTGCCAAACAGGCTCTCAGCAGATTTTACTAGGCATGTCAGATAAGCAGTTAAACTGAGCATGTTAACCTTTAATAGGATACCCAGTAGATCTCCAATGCTCCAATAAGCGATTCCCTGACACATAGGGCAAAGGATGATGTTAGCAAAATCATGGGAAGACACAGAAACCTCAATAAGAAAACCGATAAATAAAGAGACGACAAAGAATTTGCCTGCCTCAGCAAGTGGCGTATAACCATGCATGAAGGACGAACAGACATTTTTTTTTTGGTCGAGAAGCACGGACAGACATTCACTATATCAAGGCGGAGCAAATAGAAAGAAGAACATTCTCAAACCTTGGTACCTCAAATACATACAGTTTACTTGCAAATTCTCAATATGAAAAGTGAAGACGACATTTGGCAAAATCCTAATGGCCAATTCCAGTCCCTCACAGACCTCCAAAACGATCTCAACTGGGGACGTCCTCAAAATTTATTGATTCTGATTAGAATCAGGCTGGTATACCCGAATTCCAGTCACAATCAACAGATGATTGTTTAAAAAAACCTATCTTTTCCCCTAAAAATAATTAGGTTTGACAATATACCTTGTGAATCTAAAGGAAAATCTCTCAAATTACAATAGAATCCCGTTCGACCCCCGTAGACATTGTCTTGTGTTTGCAGGTGAGTGAATTCCCTAACGCTTGGATAGGGCAGCATGTTACGTGGTTGGAACGTGGCTTGGGAGGTTGTTGTTGCTTGAAACGGTTTTGTTCTTGTGCACGGTTGCATGACACTTGAATGCAGTAATTTGTGTGATATGTTGATGTTCTTAACCATGTTTGTTGATTTATGAGCTTGTGAGCTTTTCATGTGTACATAGCAACTAGGACTTTATGTACGTGGGTTAAGATAGAGGATAATAAATTGGCTTGTGCGACCCATGATGTGTGATTACTAAATGAAAGAAGAAAACAGTCGTCACATAGCATTGGCGACGATGCCTCAGTTGAGCCGGGATACCCTGGTTGAGCCCGGATGCCTTGGTAAGCTAGCCCTGGGATGTCTTGGTTGAGTCGGGATGCCTTGGTTGAGCCAGAATGCCTAGCATGAAGCTGGATGTCTCCGTTGAGCCGAGATGCCCTGGTTGAGCCAGGATAACGATAAATGAATCTTATATGTGTGCCGGTCTGTGTGTTTATTGATAAGTCGAAGGTTTTCGGATGCCGGAAGGATCCCGGAGGACTCGTCACCCACATATTGAGGATATTTCCGGATGCCATGCCCCGATGGATTTCGATTGTAAAATAAATGAATTCACGTGTGAATATTTTCAGGTATTTTTGCATGCCGATTGTTTGCGAGGCTTCACGTGTAAATTTTCTTCTATATTTTTATGTGACCGGATAAATGTGAGCTTTCATGTAAACATAGCAAGGGCAAGGTCAAAGTCTTTGCCATTGATTTATCATCAACATAAGGCAGGGACAATAATTATATGTGTTAGTACGACGGCGAGGCATCATCCTGCACGACTATTAGTGAATTTACTCATTGAGTTTTCAACTCACTCCAGTTGTTTTTCATGTTTTTAGGATGAGCTCAGTGTCCCCGGTTTGTTTTGGTGTACTCGTCAAGATGGAAGTTGACGTAGAGGAGTTAAGATTAACCTCGGCCTTCGCTTGTGATGTAACTAGATATGGTTTGTACGTGGAACGGCCCGTAGAAAAGGGCTTGTGAAATATGTTTATGTAATATGGCAATAGTGTGTTTTGTCTATTGTGCTTTCCCTGATTTCCAGCTATTATTTTGTTTGGGAGTTCGTTTGTACACGTTTGCGCATGTGCTTATTAATCAGATAAAAGAAATGGGATGGCAACGAGCCTAGAACATCGTATTAATAACCCCGAGGTGAGAGGACGTTATAGATATGATTAATAAACCGTTGAGTTCACATTAAATCCGAACTTGACATAGACGCAAAAGCAATAATGATGAACCTTACTTTGATGAACTTGCCATCTACTAGTAAAGTGAGATTAACTATGAACCAATTCGAATGAACACATGCATCTCTCCCTTTTGCTCTTGAAATTCTCTCAAGTTGAGTTAGGTTCTCGCATATCTTTTGTTTTCAAATTTTTTTTCTATCTATTTAGTTACCAAAATTCTCGTGCTTTCAACGTAAGTCCCGACTCCCTTGTTTTCAAATTTATAAAAAAGCATGCTAAGACGTGTTGTAGAACAACATCAAAAGATGCATAAATCGAAGCACAATTAGCAAAAGGACAAAAGTAAAATCAAAACCACAAAAGACAAAATATATCTGAAAACTCAAGACGGAAAAAACCACATGAGGAGAGAGTCGGGTTTCATTATCTTCAGCAATAAGTACAAGAGTACAATCCAAAAAGTCAAAAAGCTACTTGGTGAGTCACAAAATCTAAAGATCTAACAAGAAGAAAGGAAGAATAAAGAATGGAGAGAATATGGAGAGTAGAGTCGGAGATGTGTTGTGTAATAAATCCCTTTTATAGTCCCTCTTCAAAAACCCCTAAAACAAATGTGCATGGTCCAAAATGCCCTTGTCACAAATTTGAAAGTCAAAACTCAACAAATATCCTCTTTGACTTTAAATCTCCGGAAGAGAGTTATGCCAAATGCCACAAGACCTCTTGCTCTTACCACCAAGAGTGACCACACAAGGCCACCCCTCACAACGGTAGAATCGACAAGACATACTCCTAAGCTTACGTGAGCGTACTTTGTGTAGGAAACAAGGGATTAAATGCCACCACCTCCACCTAAGCAACTGAAATGATAAAAACGCCAATTAAGTTTGAGCAATGCTCGTACTTGGTTAAGGGAACTAGTTTAGTCAACATATTTGCCAGATTATCTGCCATAGATACTTTATTCACCATAACCGTACCCTTAGCAACCTCTTCACACACAAAGTGATACCGGATGTCGATATGTTTTGTTCTCTTGTGATACATTACATTCTTGGTCAATTGGATTGCACTTTGGTTATCACAAAAGATAACGGAGGCTCCCTCCTGCTTCATCCCAAGTTCTGTAATCACACGCTTCAACCAAAGAGCTTCCTTTGCCTCTTTCATTGCTGCCATGTACTTTGCTTCGGTGGTAGACAAAACAGTCGTGTCCCACAAGATTGCTCTCCAACTAACCGCGAAACCACTAGGAATAAAACATAACAAGTTAAAGATCTCCTTTTTATCGAGATCACCTGCAAAGCCAAAATCAACAAAGCAAACAACCGAATATGTCCCGTAAAAAAACCACATCTAAGGTACCCCGGATGTACCGAAAAATCCATTTCACGGCTTTCTAGTGAGCTTTACCCTGATGTGTCATATACCTGCTCACAACACTAACTGCCGAGGAAATGTTTGGATAAGTGCAAACCATAACATACATAAGATTACTTGCAACACTAGAATATAAAACTCGAGACATCTCATCTTCCTCTTCTTTGGTTTTTGGCAACAAAGAAGCCGAAAGCCAAAAATGGAACGTTAAAGGAGTATTATAGGATTTGGCATTCTTCATTCCAAAACACTCCAACACTTTCTCAATATACCTCTTTTGCGAAAGGTATAACTTCCCAAATTGTCTGTCTTTACGAATCTCCATACCTAGAATCTTCTTGTCACCTCTAAGATCATTACATCTCAAACTCCTTGCTAAGTTGTATCTTCAACCATTGTATCTAACATGTTCTTCGCTGCAAGAAGCATGTTGTCCACATACAACAATAATAAAGTATCACGTAATCTCTTATAGTACACACAGTTGTCATGCGCACTCCGCAAGTGGCCATGACTCAACATAAATCTATCAAACCTCTTGCACCATTGCCGTGTAGATTGTTTGAGACCATACAAAGAGTGTTTGAACCTGCAAATGTGATCTATTTTACCCTTAACAACGAATCCATCTGATTGAAACATAGAGATTGTCTCCTTGGGCTCGCCATGCAGAAATGGGGTATTGACATCAAGTTGCTCAAGTTCTAGATCATAAAAGGGCAACTAACGCGAGCAACACGTGAATGGAATTATGTTACACAACTGGAGAGAACGTTTCATTGGAGTTGATCCCCTCCTTCTAACTAAAACCCTTCGCTACCAAACGTGCCTTGAATCTTCATCTTCAAACCCTAGGATTCGCTCCTTTCTTTTGAAGACCCACTTGCATCCAATAGCTCTTTTACCCTTAGGTAATTTGACAAGATCCCAAGTTCGGTTCTTATGAAGAGACTCCATCTCTTCATTCATCGCAACAAGCCACTTCTCAGATTTAGAACAAATAGTAGCTTCACAGAATGTAAAGGTTCTTCAATACCAACATCTTTAGCAATTATAAGAGCATAAGCTACCCAATCAGTGAAGCCATATCTCTGGGGAGGCTTAATTTGCCGTTTAGCCCTCCCTGCAGCCAAGGTATAAGGTTGTTCATCTTCTTGTACATCATCCTTGATCAAATTTGAGTCTTGTGGCTCAGTCACTTTCTAGCTAAAGAGAGACATCTTCAAATGTTCTCCATTGATGCTTCACATGAAACTATTAATGTTTTTGCAATTCAACCTCTCTCATTCTACATGACTAGTCGTGTCTATCCTGCATTCCTGCATTATTTTCACATGATACTCTCCTAATATTTTGGGCTAGGTTCTCCATGTTATTCACAGAGATGGATGTCAACCCAAATTACAGAGACTAACACTTGTTGGATTACTCCTAGAACTTCGATAATTGTCCCAAATGGACCAAATTAGAAAACTCCCACCTCTCTTTCAATTGAAATGTTGACTAAGAGCACAAAATGTGATGCACAATTTGACATTTTTTAGCAGCATCGACAGATTTCATTTCTTAAGCTCGCATCACAAGCAAGGTAAACAGCCCACAAAAGATTTTATCAAACCGAATGAGAATGAACAAGCAGAAGAAAAATAAACTTACTTTGCCAGGGGTTAAGGTTCCAGGAGCAGGAGGAGAGAGGGGTAGGGCGTGAATGTCCAACACCATACCACCGATTATCACAGCTTCTCTACCATCTCTAAGGCATAATTGCTTGGCTCTCGGTACAATCTTCATCATCAACACTAGAAACAAAAAAATTCATGATATTACTGAGCATCAATTACATCGACCATTTTCCGCACACGAAACAAAACTAGACACACGCGGAGAGAGAGAGAGAGAGAGAGAGAGAGAGAGAGAGAGAGAGAGAGAGAGAGAGCATACTAACCGGGTGAAAAAGGGAGATCGCATAAGAAGCTTGTGGTGAAAGATGATGATATAGAGACTGAATCCTCCTCTAAGCTCTGCTTTCCACAGCCATCCCTCCGTCGCTCTGTTGCTTAGAACTCAGTACTCACTATCTCTGGCTTGTTTTATGTGAAGAAAAACAGGCAGAGACAGAGACAGAGAGTGTGGGAGTGACCTTTGACGTTAAAAATGTGGCAATTTTATTATTAATTACTAATAGCTTACATGTAGGTAGTGGGATTCAATAGGTGAACTCTAGTTCCTATATTGAAAATCCTCCAACGTCCTAACCAACAGTGGTTATCCTCTTTTAAGAAGCTAATTGCTCGGTCATGAAAGTCAAGAGAGAATGATCAAGGAGGGCTAGTTTCTTTCCGCCTCCATATTCTCTGAAAAACATAAATGGCGCATCACATTTTCGTAACACTTGTTGAGAATAATTGGTCTATTGAAAAAATGGAGGTAATTTTCTTTTTGAGCCTTCGTTAATTCACATTTAGATGACGCAGCTTTCTTTATTGCTCACATATGATCCCAGCCATTTCACATTGATTTCATCTATCACTTCATCCAAGTTTACTAGGATGATATTAATTACACGTAGTAGTCTACAATGAGAACAATCAAATAGCAACAAAAGGGGGGAAAAATCTCCTTGACCCAACATAAAGAAAAAGATTATTCTGTGTGGCAACATTGAAGTTGCTGCCTGGACATATGGCATTGAACATCATCCTTTTAATCACTCAAACGTATAATTAACTTTTCAAAAGAATATAGTTTCCCATGAAGATTTTGCTCATGTGTTTTTCCATTTGTACATGATTTTGCTCTCTCTCTCTCTCCCTTAATCGAATCATTTTTTCTCCATTTGAAATGTCTAGCACTTGTCCCTTTTTATCAACCGCTCACTTCATGGTCTAGAATTCAGCGTCTTTAGTGGGCAGAGCACCACCACACCAGACGATCCACCATCGCGTGCAACCACACGCATCATCATCACCCTATCAATCCGCCGCCACTGCTCGGCGGAGTTCACATCTCGCCATAAATGCCCTTGCTGGAGGAGCTACAGAGTCTCATCACTAACTTGAACCCCTAAAGCAAAAACCACAGGTACTGGCAACAAGAGAGAAATAGGAAAGCAACTAAAACTAAGGAAAAAGCATGTTCTTTCATAAACATAATTTTTTCCTTTTGATAAGATATGACATGCTAAATTCTAATTTCGGGAAAAAACAAGATGCACAGCATAATTACCTAGAAGATATAAGAAGTAATCTCTCTAGGAAAAATAAAAGGAGGTATAATACAAGTCAACATATTCTATCTCTAACACAATTCAGTTAACACAAAAGGAAAATCGGTTGTCAAGGTTTTATACTGGCAAGCATCCAACAACTAAAGGGGTAATCCGCATTATATCTAGGCTTTTTATCATGTGATAAATACGGAAGTATCATAATGTCTGCCTGATCAAGTAATCTATATTACAACTCTCTGTACAAATGTAACACGGAACAGCTTGGGTGTCGACGGCTTGTCTCTAAACCTAGCTTCTCGGTATCTTCTCGAGAATAGAAAATGCTGATCTGGCATAAGCATTCTCAGTAACTGCATGAGCATTCTCGGTAACTATGCCCAATATTTAGCTTCCTTCGCACACAATCTATATGGTTGGGATCAAGTTCATCCTTGAATATGACAATCTATAAAACTCACATGAAAGGGTGCGTCATCTCCACAACATTCAACAAACTATCTTGCCCTCTCTCTTTCTCTCTTTTCCATCTTCTGTCCCCGTAGCAGTCAATTGCAAGAAGCAGCTCATCTAGGTAAGGAAAACTCCAACTTATAATCAATGGTGCAAAAAGAGTTAGCAATCTTGCTTGTTTGATTGTATTCCCGTTATGATTTTAGATCTTGTAGAGATTGTGGTATCTTAACTTTCTGTTGATTATCATGCAGGCTAGGTATATGAGAAGGCCCTCATGAATTTTCAAAAATTCATGACCACATTTGATTATAACTCATAGAACTCCCTTGTTGTGGTTGAAAATGTGTGTATTAGCCCATTTCGATAGGATGACTCTCGGAGACCCTAGAAATGATTTCTTTTGGGGCATCTTCATGATCTAAGCACTAGAAAATCACCTAATACATAGGCAAGAGGCGGACCCTTATGCTCGGCTGCTGTTTGTTATGTGCTACCCTACGATTATGAACATTCATAGTAAACATCATATAGATTTCATTCAATTCATTTTTCCATCTGAGATTACATTTAGCTGGCTTGGTTATCGGAGTATGGTGGTCGGTGGATGCGCATATCAGTTCGCAAAGTGAGAATTGAATTGTTCTTAGGGTTGGATGAACATTCTGAATGGTAATTTTGTGAGAAATGGCTATCTTCTTAATTACATGATGATAATAACTTTTGGGATTTTTTTGTATGACATTTTCCTCAATTATGAAGATTAGTTTCACCTCGTTTTAGCAACATGCCTCGTGTGAAAGTTCCCACCTTTTTGTTAAAGTTCTATCGAATCCAAAAAATTGGATAGGAAAATATATTTTTCCGTATTTATAATAAAAAAAGAAAAGGTGTACTAAATCTCTTAAGTCGTCTTATTTTTTTTATTGTCTGGATTTCTCAATCGATGAACTCTTTTTTTCATTGAACTTCGAAAAATTCGTTATGATTTTTCTCTATTTCTCAAAAAGATCAAGATAAAGCTTTTAATTTTTTCGTGGACCCTTTTTTAATTACCGCTAAGTAATTGCTCCTAAACAAAAAAAAATGTGAATTTCGTGTTGTTTTAGCTACTTAAGTATAGGACATGGACTTTGTTAATCTTATTACTCAAGTCATTTAGTGAAAGTATGTTCTTTTTTCTTATTGAACCAATGGAGCAACCCCAGAATCAAATCATACTCGTATGACATTTTCTTGCATAAAATGTGTCTCTTAGCATGTGAGAAGGGAGTGAATCTCATCAAAATTATCTAATTCTTGTCCTCAACAGCACATGTGACACGTAAACCATGCATTGTGATAATGCATGATTGGTTATGTTCATCAACATAGATAGACTTGGTTCTCGAATTAGAGTTTAATGTTATGGTTTTGAGTCTTTATATGATTGCCTGTTATGGGCCTGTACTGGTTATTGCTGTTGTAATAGTTTAACTTTTGGGACATGCGACCACCGTCTTCTGACAAAGTTCGGAATTCCTTCCCATGCTCTTCCTTTCAATTTCCTTTTTGCATGCTCTGAAATTTCTAAGGGACATAAACTTCTGTGACTGCTTCATTTTTTCCTTTTCCTAAACCTCGCGATCTCACCTGAAGGTCAATGGCAAACTCCAACACCAGAAGAAACCCTCCAGCGGTTCCCTCATCAACAGACGCTAATTCAATACCCAAAGTCCCGTACCCAAAGGAACTCATCAGCTCGTACCGAATAGCGTGGGAGTCTGACCCGGATTTGCGAACCTTCGATGCAAACCTCCAAGCACGGACGAACCAAGTCCTCAGCACTCTTGCTTCCGGGGTTGATGTCCGAGCTCTCTCACTGGATTCTCTGAAAGAGATAACCGAGTGCCTCTTGGAGATGAACCAGGAAGTTGTCGAAGTCATCTTGGATAGCAAGAAAGACATCTGGAGAAATCAAGAGCTGTTCGAGCTTGTTGAGGACTACTTCAAAGATAGCTTGCGCACCCTCGATTTCTGTGCTGCCCTTGAGAATTGCTTGAAGCATGCGCGCGATGCCCATTTGCCAATTATCGCTGCACTTCATTGCTTCGAAGAAGGAGATGGGGAGGGGCGTTACAGGTACATGTATCTCAGTTCTCAAGGAACTTCATTTCGAGCACACGTATCCTAGTATATTGGTTCTTGCTAGCCACTATTTTCAATTATTGGCTAAGTCATTCAATCTCCCCTATTTTCTCTATGCATTTGCATTCAACTTCATATCCTAACATGCCAATGATATCGAGTTGATTTCTAAAATTTGATATCCTAACATTATAAGGTTAAGTTGGTGAGGAATATGCATGCTTTTTCTGTTTCACATGAAACTGATGCAGATACCTTGGATAAATTTAGTTACTCGATGATCTTGGAGGAACTGACAAAATTCAAGGAGACCAGAGACCCTTTCCCCAAGGAGTTCTTCGAGATCTTTCCGACGATTTACAAGCAAAAGAGGTCCATGCTCAAGAAGTTGCAAATCAAGAAGAATAAGATTGAGAAGAAGCTCAAGAGCATACAGATGTGGAAGAAAATCTCAAGCATGATACTGGTTGCAACTTTCGCAGCCATTCTGATCTTTTCGGTCATGACTGCTGCGGTGGCTGCTCCGCCAGTCGTTGCTGCCCTAGTGGCTGCAACCGCCATCCCCATGGATGCGATTGGCAAGTGGATTGACTCCCTTTGGAAGAATTATGAAAATGCATTGAAAGGTCAGGAGGAGGTGATCACCTCAATGCAAGTGAGTACTACAAACCTTTTTCCTCACTTTTTGTAATTACAGTGATCATCCCCGTAATTTAGTCAAACCAAGTCAGCATCCATAGTTTTCCCTAGAAATTCTGGCAATTAACATAATGAACATCGTGAGGCTGGCATGATTTTTAAGTAGCTATAATGATGCGAACAATGTCTAGGAGTCCAAAATGCAAGAAACTCTGTAAGAGAAGTCACCATGATTTACATGAATAATTTCTTACAACTGAAAGCTCTACAGGCCGCTTCCTTTCGTGCTCTCAAGGACCTGGACAAAATCAGAAGTATGATTGACCCTTTGGAGGTACAGATCAATGGCCTCTTGCAGAAAGCTGATTTTCCGATTGAGGAGGGAGCAGAAGAAGTAAAGCTCGGAATAGCAGACATCAAGAAGAAGCTGAGAGTAATCATGAAGGAGGTTGAAGGACTGGGAAAGCAAGTCGATATGTGTAGCCGCAAAATCCAGAAATCGAGGATAGAGGTGCTTCAGAGGATTATAAAGCCCCCCACCAATTGCAATGGTGCCCCTATTTTGCTATAGAGACTTGTTGCCAAGTGTTTGTCTTCCTGTGAGGGATGTGCAGTGGACCTCCATTTGCATTGCCTTCTGTCTTCAATAAAGCGGAAGACATCAACATTTGGCATTCGATTTGTTGAATAATCATAATTAAATGCAGCTTTTGGACAGGAACTCTTCAATTCCTAATTGATTAAGCCCTTGTTTTAGTTGCTCTTATGCATAGTTCCATATGGTGATTAAACAAGTTCAGATGACTGACACAAAACTGACCTGTTATATGGAAATGGTAAGGTTCAGGTTCTTCCCAAAAGCAGAAGTTAGTAGCTAGGACAGAATAGTTAAATTTTCGTTGAATTGTGTTTAGAGCTCATTATGTTCGTGAGAAATGTCTGTCCCAGTCTGATGAAAGCTGCATATTCCAAATGAAAGACCAGACAGCAGTAGCTCAGCAAAACAAAAAATATCTGTAGGAAGAAAACGTATGCTACCAATGTTCCTCAATCGGAAAAGTGTCCTCCTCAATAAAACTATTTGGTAAATCCAGACATCTTAAGACAAATTTCATGTTGACAAGAATTAATGGAGGAAGAAATTGCAGATGCTGAATTATTCCTGATCAATGCTTGGCAAAATAAACGGAGCGATTGCCTCTAATGCAAATTTATTAAGGTGAGAATACGTTCCAAGTTGCTTTCTAAGCAACAAAAACTATACGCATAAATAGTCGGTGCTTTCAGATTCCAACTCTCCAACGAAACACCTCTCTGGCGTCATCAACTTTCTATACTAAAAAATTGCGGGAGAAAGACAATAAAAGTCCCAAAAGTTATGTACGGCGCTCATTTTTAGTGCCAAAAGTTTTCGCCGGATTACTTAAGTTCCAAATCAGAGAAAAAACGATCACTTAAATGCCGAAGGCAAGAAATTCCGGTCAAAATTAAGACGTGGCTTTTTTAATTATATTTTTTTATATGAGTTGGCATTATATTTAAAAAATCCCATCCATGTAGACTTGCAAAACGCGGCCGTATCATCAAACGTGGCACCATAGTCCCAAAACGACACCATTTAATGGGTCAACAAAAACGACGTCGCACCAATAATCCCAAAACAACACGGCTCGACAAAAAACGATGCCCTTCCATCCGTCATGTTCAACCCTTGGTCACCGTTGCACCTCTCCCTTTGACAGTCCTCCCTCACTGTCGCCGTCGATTGCTCTCCTGAATCCTCTTGCGCAGTGCTTCCGTCGCACCTCGTTGACTTTCGCCGTTGAACTTCATTGGTCTCCGTCGCACCACCTGCCATCGTGCCCCCATCAAACTAAGTTGACTCTCGCCCCCCTTCCGACTTTTGCCGTTGAACTTCGTCTAGTGGTTGTGGCCCTCATTGTGAAGTTTCATCGCTGCCATGCACTTCCTCTATTTCACCTTGTTTCGTGGCCGAGAGCATCAAAGTGGTTAATTCTCAGCTGAAACTTCATCGCTTGTGTCCATTTTCAATGACAACAAATTCCTGGACCTCTTCTTGTCAGTTTGACGACTGGTGATTGTTGAGGAAAATCTCTAATTAGTTTTGAAAAAAGACAAACAATCTTTTTCTGACCACAATCACACTTAAATTATTTGATGCAGGTAAATACTGAGTCATCAAACTTAGTCGATGAAAGGATTTTGTCATCAGACTCATAATTCCTCGTCAGATTCAATAAGTGTTATTTTTGGCAAGTTTATGCAGGACAGTCAAATTGATATATCAAGATATCCTATTTGGCAATCACAAGATCGTTCCTTAAACACAAAGGACTACACTTATGGAAACCTTGATTTGATTGTATGGGCGATCAAATCACCTGGAGATAATGGTTTTTCTTTTAACGGCTATGCATCTTCTTTTGGGAAGATTCTCCAATAGGTTGATTTGGGGATCAATCCTTTGAAGACTGTCCAACGGATAGATTGGACATAGAGGAGTATAAAAGGAGTGCAAACATCGTACAAGTTGAACAACCAGAATCGAGAATTCCAAAGTCTGAATAGAGCTTCGATCTTACATACATGTGATTACTGTATTCGACGATGTGACTTCAGAAAGAAAATTACTTGAGTGAAGAGTGTACATGATAGTGTAGTCTATCATCTGAGAAGCATTGCTCTTGTAATCTTTTGGTGATTCAATAGTGAAACACAGCCAACATGCTGCCAGCGTGGAGAGTGGATATAGGCTTAATAAAGCCGAACCACTATAAAGATCTGTGTGCAGTATTCTCTATCCCTAATCTTTCATTTATTATTGCTGACATTATACTGCATACATATCTATCAAACGAGTTCGTCAAAACATCATCTTAGTTATCAGACGCAATCATCTGACGACAACTTATATACAAGTTTGTCATACGCATCCATCTGATATTGATCATACTAGTTATTGACCTCGACTATATTCATTCCGCAGGTTTAAATCATCTAATTTGGTAAAATCACCTATTCACCCCCCTTTAGGTTATAGCACTAGCCGTAACAATTGGTATCAGAGCTTAGTGCTCATTTTTCTTTGAAGTGTTATTTTACTTCTGAGCTAACGATTCTTGATGGCTAGTAACGCTGAGTCAGGTCACAACAACAGACCGCCTTATTTCAATGGAACTGAATACAGTGTCTGGGAAAACAAGATGAAGACATTCATCTTGGGAATAGATCAGGATATATGGGACATCGTTGAATATGGAATCATTCCAAACGTTTCAACCGAAACAAAATCCCCAGAAACTTCCAAAGGGCAAAATGAGAGACCTTCTACCGAAGAAATTAGAGAGCAAATCAGACCTCAAGCTCTACCTCTCTCGGCCAAAGAAATTTCCAAAAGGATCCATCTGATGCAAAGATCAGAACGGCCATATACAATGGTCTAGCAAGTGTTGAATATAAACGAATTGCAAATCTCAAAACTGCAAAAGAAATTTGGGATCATCTTAAGCTTGTTCATGAAGGAACAAAGAGAGTCAAGGAGACAAATCTCAACATTCTCCTTGGGCAGTACGAGTCCTTCACTTAGAAACCAAATGAAACAATTTCCGAGATGCAGAGCAGCTTCACTGAGATCGTAAATGGGCTTGAATTCCAAAACAATCTCATCTTAGAATCTATGAAGGTGAACAAGTTGCTGAGAGCTCTTTCAAAAGAGTGGAACAACATCAAAGTTTCTATTCGAGAAACTCAGGAGATCAGACCACTCATAGTAGACGAACTTATTGGAACTTTTTAATCCTATGAAACTGAAAAGTTCTTAGAAACTGAAGAACCCAAAGGTAAAAAAATCCATAGCTTTAAAAACTAATATTGATTCTGATGACACAGATTCAGATGAAGATGAGGATGAAGATGAAGAGTTGGCTCAAATGGTCAAGAAACTGAGAAAGATGGCAAAGAAGGTGAAGATGAATAAGTCAAAGAAGCAATTCAAGAATTCTGAGCCATCAAAAGCCAAAAAGCTAAACTTTCAGAAGAAATTCAAGTGGCGAAGATGAAGAAAACAAGGACGTAATATGTTTCCACTGCAAAAAGAATGGACACATAAAGCCAAAATGTCCTCTTCTCAAAAAGAACAAAGGAAAGTATGAACGATATAAGAAGGCTTTCAAAGTTGAAACGTGGAGTGACTTAGATTATGATAAAAGCGAACAAGAATATGCCAATATCTGCTTGATGGAAAATTCAGACTCAGAATCAAGTTCTGATGAAGAAGACGAAGTAAGTAATTCCAAAATTCCTGAAGTAGTTGCAAATTATATTGATGAGTTAGTCATTGTTAACAAAACTGTTTTCAAAAAGATTTCTATATTGAAGAAGGAGATTTTGTCTTTAAAAAGTGCGATTCAAAACAAAAAAATTGATGAGTCAATTGCATATGAAAATGAATGTTTAAAAAAGGAAAACAATCTTTTAAAACAGCAAGTGTGACATTCCGAATTTCGGCCAACTTTTGGGATTTATAAAACGTGTATTTCGTCAGTGCGCTTATAATAAAATCTCGCCCGGAACTGATCACTCTCGGGTTATTATTTTTAAATTAGAGATTTTGCTAGAATCGCACTCGATCGAATTTGGCCGTTATTTAGAGCCCAAACTTTGGTGTCAAATTTCTCGGAGTTCCGGGACGAATTTAATTGGATGGTGTCGATATTATTGTGGCCAGCCTCGATATTGCCCGGGATATGTGGAAAGTGAAATTTCGACCGGGTGCAGATTTGGACTAGTAGACCTCCCTCATAGTGTGTTTTATTTGATTTCTTTTGGCCATTTTTCCTATATTATTAATTAGGATTTTCGTGGGCCGTTGGATCATTTTTGGGTTCGAATTGTGACCGTTGGATCGCGATTGAGTACGTTGACGTTTCTCCTCTCTCTCTCTCTCTCCTCCCTCTGCCGCATTTGCTCCCGTCCCTTCCCCCACTGCGCCCGTCCCCTCTCTCTCTCTCTCCCCCACTCCCCCATGCAACGTCCCTTCCCCCCCTTCTCTCTCTTCCTTTCTTTTCTTCTTCTTCTCTTCTTCTTCTTCCTTCCTTCTTGCTTCGCCCGACTGCCTTGGCGTCCTGCTTGCTGCTCGCCGCTCGAGCTCGTCGCCGCCCACCATCGCTAGCCAGCTCGTCGCCACGCCTGTCACGGCCCGGTGCTGCCCAGCCGTCACCGCCCTGCTCAACCCGTCCGCTGCGTCGCCGCTGTCGCCGGTTCACCCCCCTCAGCCCTAGCTTCCCCGAGCTCCTCTCCCCTCTGTCCAGCTCGCCAGTCGAAGGCACGCCACCGTGCCGGCCGCCGCTGCTCTCACCACCACCACCCAGCCCCCCTTGCCACCGACCGCCGCCGTGCCGCCTGTCGCCGCCGGCTCGCTCCCCCTCAGCCCCTAGCCTCCTTTCTCTCTCGCCATCTCCACCCCCGGCTGACCTCCCCCTCCCCTTCGGCTCGTTGCTGCCGCGTTGCCGTTGTAGCTGCTCGCTGCCGCCACCGTCGTCGTCGTCGTCCCCGTTGCCGCCGCCGCTCGCCCGCTCGCTCGCTCGGCTATTTGCTCGTGCCTGGTCGAGTGCCTTGCTCGTGGCCGAGCGCCGCGCCCATGGCCAAGGGCCGTGTCGAGCGCCGTGCCGAGCGCCTTGCTTGTGGCCGACCGCCGTGCCCGTGCATGTGCCGAGCCCAGCGCTGTTCACCCGGGCCATTTTAGGCCCGGGCCGATTTTTCCCGGGCCAAAACCTAGTAAGTGACTTCCTAAACCCTACTTAGTATAATGGGTATTTTTAGACTTGTTTAGGGTGTGATTAGTACTGGTTTAGGGGCTAAACGTGGATTAGGGTTAATATTTGAATGTGAGTAATTGTTAGATTAAATTGCGATGATTATGTGACATGTTTAGTGGCTAATTTATGTGGGTGCGATAACTGGATTGTCGTGGCGTTTGTGGATGAAATTGACGTTTGATTGGGCCGACTTGAGTGTCGGATTGGTGGGCTAGTGTGATGAGCTCGTGACTTGAATTGTGTGGCATGTGTGCATGTGAGAACGGACTTGAGACGTGTTGGTGGTGGTCCGTGAAAGGAAGACGTGTTGACGGTGGTCCATGAAAGGAAAGTTTGACCCGGGACGTGTTAACGGCGGTCATTGGAAATTGATTGAATTGTGTGGCTTGTGTGCATGTGAGAACGGACTTGAGACGTGTTGACGGTGGTCCGTGAAAGGAAAGTTAGACCTGATACGTGTTTACGCGGGTCATGGGAAAGAAAGAAATGTCCTGAGGCGTGGTTACGCGGGACCGAGCCCGGATTGATTGGAGGGCTGAGCCTGAGGCGTGTTTACGCAGGTCGTGAGAAAGTGTGAAAGGTCCAATGAGGGACGGAGCCCGGCTTGATCGGAGGGCTGACTTGTGGGGTGTTGACCCGGGTCGTGGAAAGTTGCTCGGCCATGAATGTGAATTGAGTGTGATTGAATTGATTGAATATACGTAGTTATGGCGTTTGAGTGGTGATGTTATGTTCATGAATTATTATTGCTTTATGGTGGATTCTAATGTGCAGAGTTGGCACGTAGTTCGAGCCGAGGTAAGTATGTTGTGTGAAATTGATTGTGTTGGCTGGTGGATTGCATGTTAGACTCGTCTGGGTATGCATTGGCCTATGTGGGGTTTAGGTTGTTTACTTATTGAGATTTATCTCATCCCCCGTTGTTAAACATTTTCAGGATTGGAGTGACGGATAGTCGTCATGTGCGGTTCAGAGACCGGGAGTGACCTTGGGCATTTGATGCTTCGTTTCATCTTTGGATGCCCCTCTTTTGTATAGTGAAGTAGGCTAAACAACCACTGTTCCCTTTTTATGTTGTGTATTTGAAATTATTGTTTTGTGCTATCCTGTTGTCATTGTTTATTGTCTGGGTTATTTCTATTTCGCTTCCGTTTGTCTTTATCGTTGGGTGTTTCGTTTGGGTCGGCGACGCGTCCTGGGACGTCGCGTTCGATACGACCTTCGGAGGGGTGTCGCGAGCCCGTCGGGGTTCGGGGCGTGACAGCAAGATATCTCACAAAAGGATAAGATTGATTTTTTGCAAAAAGAAATTAATCTCATTAAGGAGAATAAAGAATTCCTTGAAAAGAAAAATGATTTATTGAAAAAGGAAATTTCTGATCTGAAAAATATTTCTAAGGAAAGTTTTGATCGTATCTCTAATGAAAAAGAACTTCTGAAAAATGAAATTTCTAATATAACCAAGAAATTCTCAATGGGTTTGAAAAATCTTCAACATATTTTGTCAATTCAAGTTCCCTATTATAATAAATCAGGTTTGGGTTTTGAGAAAAATACTGAAATGAAAAATGCTTTTCCCAATGTCAAAGAAAGACTAAAGAAAAGACCCCCCAGATTTGTGTATCAAAATCACTTTCAAAAGCAGTTTGTGAAATTCAATGATCAAACTTCCTTTAAGTGCTCAAATTACGGTGATACAAATCACTTTAAGAATGACTATCCTAAGGTTTGGAGACCGGTTCAGAGAGAGATTCTGACAATGATTGATCCTAACCAAAATGGACTCAAGAAAATATGGGTACCAAAGAAAAGACGAGATTACTTTTCTTGCAGGGAATAAAGGAAAGAGAATTTGGTAAGTAAAGGTATATTTTTCAAATTCTAAATTTGTTTTGGGAACATACTTTACATATCTACAAATTCCCATTATATTCAATATTCTTTGGCATGTTCTATAATTGCGTTAGAAATGTCTTTTTGAAATAAAAGTCAATTTTATTTTGAAGGATCTTGAGATGAAATTTTATAAAAGAGATTGATTAATATCTTATTTCATTTTGGGAAAGAAATAATTCAGATTTATGGACTCGTTGCGTGCTCTCCGATCTTGTCATGCCTTACAAAGAAAGAATTTTTTTTACGAGATATTGTTTTACTATGCATGATATATTTCCCTTAAATATTCTACTGAGATTGTTGGGAAAGTATCCTTAAGCTTCTACGAAAGCTTCCTATTTTGCGTCTAACAAAAGGAAAGGATCCAAATACATGGATACTAGAAAGGAAGTGAGTTTATTGCAGAAAATTCTACATAGGAAGAATGATTGCAAATCTACACAAATCATGGTGCAATCAGAGGATTATCTCAAGCAAAAATTGAGAAGGATCATCTTTAAATCAACGGTATATTTCAAACATATACCTTGGGTAAGAGAATAAAAAATTCATATTTATCATCTTGCCTTACAAATTTCTACACGAATCATGATGATTGCTTATGACTTACATATGATTTATATTGCAAACATCTCTTGTCATAAGGCATGGCACATTTTTATTACATGACTTGGCATGCGGTAGAAATACATACTATTCTTTTGCGAAATTCGTTAAAGTCATATTATCTTTATGCATCTGAGATTCATGCTTAAGGAAAATTCCTACAATCTTGAAAGATATTATTGCATACTTTTATGTACTTGGATACACTTGCTATATTCTTAGAAGATTTATTACAATTGGCAAGTTTGATCTGCAAATCGGAGGAAGGTATGTACATGACATTCTCTATATTTTGCAAAGATTATTATCTCTCTAACAAGTATTTGCAGGTTGTAAAGGAATCTTTCCTTGTGAAGTTCGGAAATCTTGATCCCAAAATCGTGGAGATTTTGTAATATTTTCGAAGGATCGAAAATTTTCTCTTTGCGCATAATTCTCACAAATTATTGGAGGCATATCAAAATATTCTAAGCAAACGCTTCATGCGTCGTACGAAAGGATAAGTTGCTTCGGAATGAAATATTTGACACTCTTATATATGCTATTCAATTTATTTATTCAAAAGAAAGGGCATTATATATTGCGTGAGATATTATATCTTTAACAGCTAAATTGTGCAAAAAGTTTGTTGAGTTTATGCAAATTGAATTCGAGACGAGCTTGATTGAAGAAAATAAATTTCTTTCTCGAAATTCAAAAAACTATGTTGCGGATGTTGCTGCTACAAAGAAAATAAAGGAAATATTCTCTTCAACGTGCACAAGCCGCAATGAAAGCTATTCGCAAAAGTTGTCTTGACGACAGGGGGAGATAAACAAAAAAGGTATGAAGAGCAAAAAGTGAAAAATGCAAAAGAAATGGGAATCATCTCAAAATGGCATCAAATTGAGGGGGAGCATATATCAAGTATGGGAAAACCTTGATAAAGTTGATTTAATTTCTATCGCTCATGATTACTATGCAAGAAAAGGTAATGTATGTTAGAACTTGCTAAGTTCTGCATAATCAAGGTTAGTATTTCTTATATTTCCCTTATTTTTTGTCATATACAAATCTCTTATTTACATTATCGTTTTATTATGACAAAAAGATTGTGAAATTTATTATGTGCATCCGTGTTCGTTGATATATATGATATTTGATTCTACAGAACACGAGCTATATTGAATATATGCGAAAGATGATGAATATATGCCAAATATATTTTGAAGATAGTATGTGAATATGAGCTTATTGTATATTCTCTACATGATACCCTTCATTATTATCGCATCTTGATTATGACAAAAAGGGGGAGAAAATGTAAATATGCATACATGCTTATTGGTTAATTATATTTACTTGATGCATAATATTGAACTGTGATTATATCTTTTTGTGATGTTGACAAAAAAAAAGGGGGAGAAATATGCAGATATGATATGTTTTGATATGCAGACTATTGGATGAAAAGGAAAAGAGACAGACTGTGATTCAAATTTTTATGGTTCAGATTTTGCGCTTTGCTTAAATGCAAATCATATTCTGTGCCTTATCTTATTCATGAACAGAGTTTAAAAATCTCATATTTGCTCATATAGAATATTTTGAATATCTGCTACATTATATGTTTGATCATATTTCTCAAAATTATCTCAAAATCTATATATCTACATGGAAAGTTTTGTCATCATTAAAAAGGGGGAGATAATATTGCTAAGGTAATCTGAGAAAAGTTTTCGCATTTGATACTTGTTTTTGATGTGTTGTGACTTGGTCTGCACTTTGACATTTGGATGTTGAACTATGATTCGAAACTGGTTGTTGAACTCTTATATTGAACTCTTATTGATTATGTTATTATCTGATATTAATCCTTTCTGCTGATGTCAAAAAGGGAGAGAAGTATTATACAGATTATGAATGCAAATATGGCGTGAGCGGCAGAATGAACTGTTATACTGGAATATTATGCTAGTTTCAGAAATTAACGCTGCTTTATGTGCTTTGAATGTCATATTCTCTGAATAGAGTATTTTGTTCACATAAATATTTTTAAAGCAGATGGATAGTTTTGTCATCATCAAAAAGGGGGAGAATGTTGAGGAAAATCCCTAATTAGTTTTGAAGAAAGACAAAACAATCCTTTTCTGACCACAATTATACTTAAGTTATTTGATGCAGGTAAATAATGAGTCATCAGACTTAGTCGATGAAAGGACTTTATCATCAGACTCATAATTCCTCGTCAGATTCAATAAGTGTTATTTTTGGCAAGTTTATGCAAGATAATCAAATTGATATATCAAGATATCCTAATTGGCAATCACAAGATCCTTGGTTAAACACGAAGAACTACACTTATGGAAATCTTGATTTGATTGTATGGGCGATCAAATCACCTGGAGATAATTGTTCTTCTTCTAACGGCTATGCATCTT